GTTGACAAACGGAATTTACATGCTTACGTTTTACTTCCTAATTATTGTATTCCTCTGTTATTTAAGTTTTCAAATTATATCTTTAATTTCAATTTCTACTTCCTGAGCAGTTGGCATGTCTACAGGATTGATGTTGATGACAACTTGTTAAATCATCCAACTCGAATTCTAATAAGTCATTTCATTAACTATATTTTATCTTTTATATGCGCAGTTTCAACTCTTGAAAACATCTATGTATGTAATAGAAGTAAACTGTTTTAATCATTCTGGGTTTTGTTCTATTAACAATAGGTTAGGGCACTCCTGTATTACATTATTTCATATTTTTTTTATATAGTATAGTCACAAAGTAGGTTTATGAATAGTGATGTTAATAGTTTTAATTCTAATACAGCTCTAAAGTATAATCCGGAAAAGGTGCCCGTGTGATATATAATATACATGTACATGGATACAATTCTGTGCTATTGTAGCAAGGCACAACACTGCATACATAAATTAAAATTTTAAAATAATAATTAATGATTCTGCAAAAAGTCGGTACATCTACGCGATGTTTATTATCTTTGTGTAAGGTGAAAGCATTAATTTCGTTGTTTTTGTAATCAATAAGACATTGAAATGACTCTTTATTTCTATGGTGCTACCAAATTAAAGTGTTTTCTTAACGATAAACACTTATGTTGCTCACGTTAATGTTTTCGTTGATAAACAAGGCTTTTTGATAAGCTTCTAATACAATGCTGATTTCGATTTGATAATGAAGGTATGGTACGGTCTGACATGATCGCCGTATGAATTGACGACAACAAATACGTTAAGTAAGGCGTGATAATTGACAGTAAACTAACAGATGTCAATTACATCCATAGAGTTATTTTTTTCAATTCCAAATTAAAAAACTAATGTTACAGAGTATCACAACCGATCAATCTTGTCAATTTGTCTGAGAAAAATGGTGAACAATTGTTTAGATTGCATGCCTTTACGAATGTAATTGTGAACATTTCGAAGATAAATAGCAGTCACACCGAATAGCATCGGTAATGCAGACTCAACATGGAACCCAGATGGCAATAAGAATATACATAAAAATGTTTTGCAGTTTGTAGCTGATGGGATTCTCCATTGTCGTACCAGTCTAGAATGCTTCGACCAGGTATGATAATTATAACACGTGCATGACTTCAGATAAAACATGAGTATGTTCCTCCGGCATGTCAGCTCTTCATTCGTCCTTAGCAAAGTACATGTATTCCCTGACAACTTGTGGTAATATAGCATATTTTCAATCTAGACAAGCACAGTCAAAAGGCTGACAAATCAAATGTTGTGTATCTTATAGGTAGGTGTAAATGTAAGTTTTGAACCACTAATAAAAATAATACTTAACAAACACACACCATTTTCCGTAGGGTGAGTTGCTAACTGTCTATCCGTTAAACATTGGAGTGTTAACATTTTAAGGATTAAACATTGAATAAGGAAAACAAAAGAATAAATTAATGAATAAATAAAGCTGTTTGGGTTATTTTTATGTTCATGTTTACACAGTATAGATGAGTAAATCTTTTCAGTGATTGCCTCTTTATTACATTAAGAAGAAACACATCAACATATTTTACATGAGAAGACACACTGCATCAACATGTCGGCTGTAGCCACTACAGTACATGGTCCTAGCGGGTTATCGTACATTATCATTAAATAAATGAGACTCTCATCCTTAAATTTAAAAAAACCAAATTAGGTCTATTGTTGTCTTGACAAATCAATCCGAATGAATTTAGGCACTATATGTATCCTAACCGGTTTTCAATGTTTTTCCTTAACATACCGATTTCCGTGTTAAATATCAAATAACTGCAGGTTGAGGAAGATTTATGGTCATCGTCACGATCTTATTGGGCTTTGTGTAATATAAATTTCGATGTTTATTTTATTATTACCTTAGGGCTTCATTGATTTGGTTCTCAATTTGAGGACGTAGAACTACTTGAATGTCATCTACATTTAGATGGTGAGTATCCTCAATATAACAGGGAACGCTTACTCTTCTGACACACATGGTCTTATTTTTTTCTTTGTTCTTTTTCAGTGTCTTCCACGTTAAGGATAATCTTACATTATTCAGTTATTTGTTTGTTTGTGTTTATACATGAAAGGAAATATTAGACATTTGGTCTTTTTTTTTACAAATGTTATATACAATGTACTGGAATAATACTGTATACGGGATCTTTTCGCCCTCCGTAATGGAAGTGAATTTATCAGGATAAGAAATATTAGTACACAACTTATCAATTGTCGTAATTATATGTAAAGAACTAAAGTTTGACTGAGCGAATGTCCTCTGCTGTATAGCATCTGATATGTCAAACACATAGTTCACAAATGACATGATATTACATTGTAACTTAGTTTAGCATAATTATTATTTTCATATTCATAGTAATAACATTAGTATTTTATCTAATGTAAGTAATACAACGTATATAACAGAGAACACCTTTTATCAAATTCACGTCGGACGTATAATATTTTTTCTTTTCATAGACAAAAACATATACATTTTATCGTAATACATAGTAGTCCAGTTACATGTGTACATAACCACAAACATGCCTGCATGTATGCACTCATACTTATCATACATATATAACATACATATATAACATACATACATAACATATATGAATACATATATACATGCATACATGCATGCATACATACATACATACACGTACGCATGAATGCATACCCACGCACATAGGAATGTATGTCCGCACGTTGGCACAAATACATACATACTTACACGCATGCATGCATACATAAACGCATGCATGCATACATAAACGCATGCATGCATACATACATCCATGCATGCATGCCTACGTACATATGCATGTATGCCTGCACGTAGCCACGTCAAACATACATACATTCATACGCTCGTACACATATTGCACATACATGCATGCATACATACATGCATATGCACGCACGCACATATATATGCACCCACACACATACATAGTTTACATGCATACGCACATACACATTTCCACATGCACGCACAAACGGATGTTCGCACATATATACATACATACCCACGTACATACAAACGCATGAGCATAGTACAATATTATATAATATAGAATTTATTTGTTTTACAACAATTATGAAACAAGTTCTTTCAACTTATATTAACCACTCTTGTTGGCCCGGATGTTTGCGCGCGGGGGTTCTTAATGTGGGCGGAAACCGGGGTATCCGGATAAAACCCATGTGGTTTGGCAGGTGACCCTTAACCTTTTTCTTCACTTCCGATCAGGGAATCAAACCCCGGCCTACTTGGTAAAAGGCAAGTGTGCGTTCCATTGCGCCACCCGACCATTTGGATGCAAATAAAAAACAAGTTCTAAAACTTTAGCTCCATTTAATTCTTTGGTAACATGACGTCGTATTTCCTCTCTCCGTGTCGACTTGTTCGCCATTTTTTTCGGAAAACTAATAAACATTGTTCTGACATATTTATAACTTAGCATTCTTCAGAAAATATTACAAAGCAATACCACTCGTAGTTCTATCCTACGAAGCAGATGCTGTTTTTGTTGCTTTTTTTGTTTTTGTTGTTGCAAAATTAGTATATTTTTCTTTTGTGTTTGCATTTGTTGATAGTACATATTGAACTATAAATGTAGAGATCAATAACGCGTAATCTAACACAACCAATTAGTGTTTATACGCAACGTCACTCGTAAACACTTACATATTATTGTACTGGCTGTGATATATAACCTTTCTACTGTTCGTGAAACCGGTAATATTATTCTTCTGTGAATTTACTAAAGACAATGCCAGTTCCACATAAACCCATGATAATAAACAAAATGCAGGTAATTCTGTCCACAACTTTTGAAAGAGACTTCCAGTGCCCTGCTGTCACGTTTATGTACGGTTGGACTTTAGGTGTTGGCTCATCCTGTTCTGTGCCCACTTTCGCTGTTTCTGACCCCACCTGTATTCTTCTTGTCTTTCCATATGCTATGTGCTCGGAAGAAGAAGATTCAGGCTGAAAAGTAGGGAATTGGATTTAAAACATCAGTATCAAGCAATTTGTTTATAATAGAAGAACATCTCCAATGATTAATACAAGTAGAATCTTTTTGTTATATTTTCCCGGCGATATGATTATTTTATTTGCATAGCCTGCACAAGTTATTGCATTACCTAAATTTGTTTCTTTCTTGATATCGATATTGCTCGATCGCTAAAATGTACATTGAAGTATAATTTGAACCACAAGTCCTATAAAACTGCATGATCATATGTACCGATTACAGAAAACAAATCACATAGTAAGATAATGACCATAAGTGGAAACAACGACAAAGCGTTTGATGAAAACAATCTCTCTTTTATGTGTTGTTATATTTTCTTGTCGTGCAATAATTCTAGTTGATTTACCCGAGTCGGTTCCTTTACATGATCGTTTAGCTCCGGCACATATACCCAGGTAGCTTTAGCTAAGGTACCGAGAAATATCCTGACGACCCAACGGTGCATAACAACCGCTGGCTGATAGTAGATAGACAAAACTAGTACCGCCATCACACAGGCAAATCCGACGAGGAATAGACAGAAATTGAAGTAGATTGCTGCAAATGAAAAACGAATATTTGCATAACACCAGCAAATACACGGAATACATAAAACATGGAAGTAAATAGCCGTTATAAAGCAACCGAGAGACTCAGCCAGTATATTGCATATTGATCATGTGATTTGGCACCAAAAAGAACCAAATATGACAATCACATGGTTTCTTGGTATGAAAACTAATCAATAAGAGGGTTAGCGTCTGCTGAAGGGGGTAGAGAGTCTGTCACCAGTAACTGGATACTTACCAATAGGAGGGGTAGCGTCTGCTGAAGGGGGTAGAAAGTCAGCCATCAGTAGCTGAATACTTACCAATAAGAGGGGTAGCGTCTGCTGAAGGGGATAGAGAGTCTGCAACCAGTAACTAGAAACTAACCAATTAGAGGGGTAGCGTCTGATGAAGGGGGTAGAGAGTCTGCCAACAGTAGCTGGATACTTACCAATAGGAGGGGTAACGTCTGCTGAAGGGGGTAGAGAGTCTGACACCAGTAACTGGATACTTACCAATAAAAGGGATAGCGTCTGCTGAAGGGGGTAGAGAGTCTGACACCAGTAACTGGATACTTACCAATAAAAGGGATATAGTCTGCTGAAGGGGGTAGGGAATCTGCCACTAGTAACTGGATACTTACCAATAATAGGGAAAGCGTCACCTGAAGGGTATAGAGAGTCTGACACCAGTGACTGGATACTTACCAATAAGAGGGTAGCGTCTGCTGAAGGTGGTAGAGAGTCTTTCAGCAGTAACTGGATACTTACCAATAAAAGGGATAGCGTCTGTGAAGGGGGTAGAGTCTGCCACCAGTAGCTGGATATTTACAAATAAGAGGGGTAGCGTCTGATGAAGGTGGTAGAGATTCTGCCACCAGTAACTGGATACTTATCAATAAGAGGGGTAGCTTCTGATGAAGGTGGTAGAGAGTCTGCCATCGTAAACTGGATACTTACAAATAAGAGGGGTAGCATCTGATGAAGGGGGTAGGGAGTCTGCCACCAGTAACTGGAATACAGCTAGAGCAAGCATCACCGTAATTTGTAGCGAAACCTTTTCTCCTGATTCAACAGCTAAGAAGAAACCAAGTATCGCCATTCCAGTAATAAGGAAAGTCGGAATTATGATATTTACAATATAGAAGGAAGGTTTGCGTTCAATTTTTAGGTAGTAAGTAACATCAGGGTACGGTTCCGGGCAGCAACCATAATAAACCACGTGACGTTCAGCAGTAAATTTCAAGATATTCCATTCGACGTTCAAAACTGACGTTGACAGATCTCCATACGGGTTCTTATATACCAGGTCCATCTCCAGGCCGTGGTAAGACCAGGATCCGAACGCCATACTACACGTTTGGGTATCGTATGGGAATCTCTCCACGTTCACAAGACATCGACTTTGTATGATAGTAGGGAAATTGTAATACACGGAACCATCTGAATATATATTCACTCTGTAACCGTCGTAGCCCGGAAAAACATCGGCAGTGCTGTTCATGAAAAAATATATACATTTTAGATTTTTTCCTCAAATAAAGAGTTCTAAATATTTAGTTACAAGTTTTTAAAATATTGTTTAGACCGCGGACTTGTAATTGCCATTGACATTTAGATTGCACTTTCCTTGTAAATGTCAACATCTTACAAACAATTAAGATTTTGTTGATTTTGCGTTAACAATCTAGCATAATGAAAGGTCAAGAGAAATGTTCTTATTACATGTTTCTATTCCACCCAAGAGAGGAACTGACTTTGAAGCAAAAAACAATTTGCTGTGTAATGGCAGTCATTGATGTAATTCTAAAGATTATATAAGATCGATATCATCTGTTTGTCACATCCCAATTAACAAGTAAACTAACATTGACGAGCTTACATACAATTACATCCACCATCGCCTACGTTTGTAGGTCTAGGTCAATTTAAACGTACCTATCTAACAGGTAAAGAGCTGGCGCCAACATGTCATACAGGTCATACAGGCTAGGATCGGGGCTACCTTTACCTGCGTTAAAATTACTTATCATACAGGGGTAGTTAGGATACCTGCACGTATTTCAACATATCAATGCATGTATGGTCGAGCATCTACAAGTATTTCATCATATCGATAAAACAGGGAAGGATCGGCCACTCACATGTTTTAAAACTTACCTTTCATACAGGTAAGATCGGAACCTACACGTGTTTCGACATGCCATGATCATACAGGTCAGATTGGCCAATAACATGTATTTAAACTTATCTATCATCCAGGGTATGATCCGGCAGTTACATGCTTTAAAGTTATCGGGCACTCATGTGTTTATAAAGTGTTCTATCATACAGGTAAGATCAGGCACTTACATGTATTTAAACTTTCCTTATGATCGGGCACTACACTTGTTAAAACTAGCCGATCATGTAGGGTAATAGGGGCATCTACAGGTGTTGAAACTTACCTGTCATATAGAGTAAGATCGAGCATCTACACGTATTTAATCATACCCATCATACAGGGTTAGATGGGACATACACAGGCGTTAAAACGTTCCTATCATATAGAGTAAGATCGGGCATCTACACGTATTTAATCATACCCATCATTCATGGTCACAAGGGACACATACAGGCGTTAAAACTTACCTGTCATATAGAGTAAGATAAGGCATCTACATGTATTTAATCATACCCATCATACATGGTCACAAGGGACACATACAGGCGTTAAAACTTACCTGTCATATAGAGTAAGATAAGGCATCTACACGTATTTAATCATACCCGTCATACATGGTTAGATGGGACACACACAGGCATTCAAATTTACCTATCATACAGAGTAAGATCGGGCACCCACACGTATTTAATCATACCCATCATACATGGTCACATGGGACACACACAGACGTTAAAACCTACCTATCATACAGGGCACGATTGGAAACTCACACGTGTATTAACTTACCTATCATACAGAGTAAGATCGGGCACCCACATGTATTTAAAGGGTACAACAATGTTGCCAAGGTCACCAAATGCAGCCGGGTCCCAGGTCAGTTGACAATCTGTCCAAAACTGCACATCAGGAAAATTCAAACAATTACAGAAAACTAGTACAGTTACTAATAAACTACGAAATGTGTTTGAAACATTATCGTACAGTCTTACACGAAAGTGGTGTCTTTAAATGAAATCACCTGATCTGACATTAGGTATTCCGAGATATAATACTGTATAACTTACTTATACGTACCATTCTAATCCAAAGATTCAGGGTTAAAACCTGAGAAGGTTCATCCTGTAATAATAATAAGAATTGTCAACACATTTTTCGATTATTTATTGAATTGTTACATGAAAAACTAAATACCAAAATGTAAACAAAGCCATAATTCGGACTCGGAAACGTTGCAACTCCGGAAGAATATGAACAAAGAAGATATTTAAATTTTATCTTTGTAAAGTACAAGAAAATTAGACCAGGTGTTCCAGAAGGGCAATACTCTTCTATTTATCGACGATGGCCGCCATGTTAATCGAGTTCAAATCACCACAAAGAAAAGTTCATAAGACGAAGTAACTAACTATGTAGCGATGACGAAAGAACAAGCCAAGCTAGTATCGTACAGTCATATGAATGTCAATATTTATAAAACAGAAGCGAATAAATGTTATTTTCTAAGCAAAAGGTAACGGCGACAATACAACTTCATGAAGTCTTCATCAACCAGCATCACTCGCATTATATGTATTAGTTTGTCTGTAAGTATCGGACATCTATGACGAATTATATGTGTTAGTTTGTCTGTAAGTATCGGATATCTATGACGAATTATATGTGAAGTTTGTCTGTAAGTATCGGACATCTATGACGAATTGTATGTATTAGTTTGTAAGTATCGGACATCTATGACGAATTATATGTGTTAGTTTATCTGTAAGTATGGGACATCTATGACGAATTTTATGTGTTAGTTCGTCTGTAAGTATCGGACATCTATGACGAATTATTTGTGTTAGTTTGTCTGTAAGTATCGGACATCTATGACGAATTATATGTGTTAGTTTATCTGTAAGTATGGGACATCTATGACGAATTTTATGTGTTAGTTTGTCTGTAAGTATCGGACATCTATGACGAATTATTTGTGTTAGTTTGTCTGTAAGTATCGGACATCTCTGACGAATTATATGTGTTAGTTTATCTGTAAGTATGGGACATCTATGACTAATTTTATGTGTTAGTTTGTCTGTAAGTATCGGACTTCTATGACGAATTATATGTATTAGTTTGTCTGTTAGTATCGGACATCTATGACGAATTATATGTATTAGGTTGTCTGTAAGTATAGGACATCTATGACGAATTATTTTTTTTAGTTTGTCTGTAAGTATCTGACATCTATGACGAATTATATGTGTTAGTTTGGCTGTAAGTATCGGACATCTATGACGAATTATAAGTGTTAGTTTGTCTGTAACTATCGGATATCTATTACGAGTTATATGTATTAGTTTGTCTGTAAGTATCGGACATCTATGTCGAATTATATGTATTAGTTTGTCTGTAAGTATCAGATATCGATGACGAATTATATGTGTTAGTTTGTCTGTTAGTATCGGACATCTATGACGAATTATATGTGTTAGTTTGTCTGTAACTATCGGATATCTATGACGAGTTATATGTATTAGTTTGTCTGTAAGTATCAGATATCTATGACGAATTATATGTGTTAGTTTGTCTGTACGTATCGGACATCTATGACGAATTTTATGTATTAGTTTGTCTGTAAGTATCGGACATCTATGACGAACATTGTGATATTCTAAGTTTGGTTTGGTTTTATATTGTTTAACGCCCTATTAACAGCTAAGATCATTTAAGGACGTGCCTCCATGTGTGTTGTGTAAGCGTGCATGTGGGTATGTGTGTCAGAGACAGGGTATGGGGGTGTACTTGCCTCCTCGTGAAAGCGCCGATCTCATGCATACGTAATAGTGTTATCTCACTGAAATACCAAGCACAGCATACCGCCCGGTCACATTTTACTGACAACGGGTGAACCAGTCGTTGCCAATCTCAAATACGCTACACGTTATGCAAGGGATAGCAACTACCATGTTTTAGGACTTTTGTATGTCCCGGCCTGGAGGCAGAACCCATTGCCTTCCTCACCCGGAAGAACGTTTAGCATTAAAGCCAAAAGTGAGGTGTTGCAAAGCAAGGCGCTTGGAAATAAATGATAGCTAGAAATAAAAAGAAAGAGAAAAAAAGGTCCCAAATAATCCTATTGGTGCAGCAGATTTATATTGGTCGTTTTTGTGTCCCCTAATAGAGGTCACAAAAACAAATCCCCATTTCTGCAAGGAGTCCCCACATTAGTCGCCTCTAACGATACATTCAGGGAGGTGGGGCTGCAGGGGTAGATATTATAAGTGTATCGGTAATAATCAATCCAACTGCGACATGCCAATACCGAATGTTGTGGAAGTAGTTATAATGCTATCAAGAAATGGAAAGTTCACATAAGAAAACCGAAATCGTCACATTTATCACTTAGTGAAACTGTACGCGGTCTCTGTTAGTCATGTTGCTAGTGAAAGTTCTGTTATTCTCATTCAGTATCTTTCAACCTTACCAGTAATGTTTATATTCACTTCAGTAAAATTATAACAGTCAGTGAATACTGTTCTATCACCCACCTGTTTGATAGTTACTTGGTGATAAAATTACCCTTGCAATACTCTATACCAGAATGGACTCCTCCAGATCAATGCATAGTAGAGCTTATCAAAATTACATAGGGTTGAAAGGGTTTAACAGAAGCATAATCATGTAATATAAATACTTACCAAATCAACAACTTGTCGGAGAGCAATATCAATTCGTACGTTGGTGGCGCTGTTGTTGTTACAGTAAGGCCGAGCCGCACTCTGGTAATCAGTGAACAGGTGGTCAAATAGTGCGGACGAGTTTGTAGTAGCATCTGTGTCTGAAAAGTTTAAAAACGGGTCAAACAACAGGTTATTTTAAGTAACAAAGCATATAAACTATATATCTATTATGAGGTAAATTTCAAAAAGTTGGTAGGTCAATCTGTATAAAAAAATCGTTTTACAATATTACCAGAGTAATTTGTAGGCAGGCAAAAACGAAAATTGGTAAAACAGTAATTTCTTTGCTGTTTTTTTTTGTCGGTAGTACAATGAAATCGGCTGAAAGGAAGGTAGCAATAAAAGTCGGCCAAAAGTCAATTATGTTATGTGGTATCTCTGGAAATAGGCCACAGAATCGTCCATAAAAACAAAGTATTTAATTATGTTTAATAATTAGGTCAAACAGAACTTAGGTCAAATAAGGAGTGTAAGTTGTAGAATCTACACGTCAACCGTACTTAAGGTACACTAGATTGTAGACGATTTTGTTTTTGTTGATATTGAGTTTACCTATTTTACTGTTAAGTAACAGTTTTGTTAATGTAAAATAATAATATTATATAAACTAAACTTTAAGCTTCAACCTTTCTGTCATGACAGTTTGCGTTAACTTTCCATGGGATTTTGTCTATATTTTCACAATACATATACATCATATACGAGCGCTCTGGTTTTAACGGGTCTTATTAACAGCTAAAGTCATTAAAAGACGTGACTCAGTGTATGTAATGTATGAAAGTAAGCTGAGGCGGTAGGTTGATATATTTGTCACTTTGCGAGCGGATCTGATGTCGACTTTAAAGTGCTACCTCACTGATACATCATATCGAAGGCAGCCAGCATAGTTGTGCATCCGGTCACATGATACTGGCAGCGGGTATTCCAGTTTTTGCAATAAAAATCTAGTATACTTTCCTTGTGTTATAGATTGTATATGGTATAACAACCAATATCAGAATAGTTCTTAATATATATATATATATACTGTAATATCATATAAAAAATAAGAAATGAGACAATTGTGAAGTTTATAGCCGAACTACAGGTATCAATTATAAAACAAAATAACAATCTATTTACAAATTCAAAAACTAACGCCGACAGTTTTAAGAAACTGTCATACCAGAGACGTGAGAGATTTCCCAGACTACAATGTTTTAAAGATGTCAATGCTGTGTTTGCCTTCACTACAACAATACCTAGTCAGAGTAATCCATCTCAATCTAGTCTTATATTAAAAGCTGTATGGGACAATGGCGATGATCTTGTTGTGACATGGATTTTTTTTTAATGTACTTAAAGTTGTTTCTGCTATATACTTCAAGTTATTATACACACCAAACGATTAACCTATATTTAAAGGAGAGATTGCCAAATGACATGTATAGATAACGTTACAAAGTGTGAGAATATACTTTATTGATTTTGTTCCCCGGGCTAAGGAATTTAATTTGAATTTAAGCCGTGAAATATTCATGAAAATGCCGCCAATGTTGTCTTTCTTCTTAAAATTATCATTTTTGTCAAAGGAAACAGGTTTTTAATTCTTTGAAACATATGTCATCATTTCATGTGTATTTTACTCCTTTCAATGACATTCTGATATAGTTAGAAACCCAATAAAATACATCCTGGAAAATCGTATGTAGATGGTCTTGTGATTATGGTTGTACAAATTGAAAAATCTCAATAGGATACTAAAAAAGGGATTGGGATATATTGCTATTAAAAACAAACCAATACCAAATAAATAAAACACGGCATATCATTTATAGCCACTTTATAAAAAAGTTGTGTGCGTATCTTAAAAAGCATTTTTTCAACAATTAATGTATTAAGAGATCAAAATGGTCTGATATTGCTTTTTTATATTAGAAACTTTTTTTTTTAAATACACTTAAAGTGAAATACTTGTAAAAGGTAAACGGTCTTCAAGTATACGTACCAGGTCGTTATGCCTCAGTAGATGTAGGATAACACATGCATCTGACAGCAGAACTGAATAAAATTGCATTGGTTACAAAAAAGTCGATTAAACAGCTTTTATTTTTGTTTAATGCGGTTGCTAATTATGGAAACATTAGTAAGTAACGGAACCGTATATCGTACATGCACATGATGTTGAAACAAAATTCCACTAGCTTCTTTGTACAGGTGTAATGCGCTCTGTAGGATACTTTATAATTAGGTGTATATAATATGGAATCCAGCATTATCACGATTTATTTTGTTTGTTTAATGTTTGGATAACCAATCTATTTTCAGTTACTTTTTTCATTATGCGTTCAGTTTGGAGTGTTGGTAATTCTAATTAAAACAGTTTTTGTCAATAAAATAGGACAGTTATGGAAGGTATGTTTCAAGTACATATCCAAAAAGTGGATACACCACACGTGGTATATGACCTTCAAGAGTTTTGATTGGTCGAGAAGATGAACTTTGGCCGGGACGACGTTTTCACGAGCTTTTTGCCACATGCTGTTTTGTTTACGTCGTCTGCTGTCAACATCCGACAAATGTTGGTGACTTTGTGAGGTTATGCGGAAAATGGGGTTATTAAGGCAATATTAAAAGAAGGTGATACTTAAAGATTTGATCGCTATTTTTAGGCAAAATTGCTACAGACGCTCGATATCGTTTCGACGTCACACCGTGACGTGTCCAGGTCGTGAAACCAAAACAAAATCTGTCACAGTGTCGGAAAATATTTCGTTTTCCCAACGTCCCGCTATTTGGACGGCCTGAATATGACTGAACTTTCACAATAAACGTCAACCATAGAATAGTCACCAAGAAACGTAGGACTATGGTTTTGAACATTGACAGCGATAAGTTCGTCTTCATCACTTGGCGGGAGGCAGACTTCGTACGATATGCTTACGCGCATATAGTCCGTGGTTGATTTATATAAATTAATGCAATACTGCTACTCTCAATATTTAAAGTCGTTCATCTATTATATTTTTTCATGAAGTTGTTGCCGAAACATTAATTTTGACAATTATTAAATTTGTTAAAAAAAAGTCATTTTTGAATATTAATGAGTGACTTTTACATATGGGTCATATCACTACGCCAGCCGTGTATGTTATTTCCGACTGATCATGAGATTGTGGTAGAAACAGGTCACACTACTCGTGGTTGTTGAGTATGGTATTTATTTCACTCTCGTTAGTTATTTTTCAAAAGTTACAGAAAGACACTCGCTAAAGCTCGTGTATTTTGTAACTTTTGAAAATTAACTAACCCGAGTGAATTAAATACCATATTCAACAACCACTCGTTGTGTAATCTCTAAATAACTTATATCCTTTATTTACCATCAGCTTTATTGCCACTACATATACGAATATACACAAAAGAAGTGACAGTTATAATGGAGGGTCTCTCTTCATACATTTAGTAGACAACACAACAATAGAAACAATGTTATTGTAACATAGCTCTCGAAACATAAGTACTTATATCAATACAACATGGCGTCATATTCTCGGTATACATTGTTACTACGAAATGAATCTAAGTAGCTCCGTTGGAATAGAATAAAAATATCAATATAACAGCTCAATCAGGATATACACAATAGCTCCAACAAACAGGAGTGAAGTGATTTAAGGAGGGAAATTGTCGTGTTATCTCAGTAACGTTATCCTTTCAATACGTCAGAAATTTAACTGGAATGTTTTTAGAATGTTGTGATACTGTTTCTGTTACATGTATAAGTCTAAAGATCATAATAGTTCAAATAAAATTAAACATTAAAATTATTTCCCTTAACTTCCCTATCCTTTACATCAGGGATTACATGAAAAGGTATGGAGTCACCTGCTCGACCACGTGGGTTTTCTCTGGGTACTCCGGTTTCCTTCTACAGTTACAACCCCCATAAACATCCGTGACTACAAAAGTGATTAGTATAGGTTGTAAATAAATAAGTTTATATTCTATATATATCTTTTTTTCAATTGATTTGTTTTAACCCCGGATATAATATTTTTTACTTCCCCGGACTTTTTTAACCTCCTCAAGCCCTCCTGGATATTCTTTAACTTAACATTTTAAAGTAATATCTCCGAATAATTTGTTTTTAACCCCCTTGTATATTTTCATGTAATATACAAGGGGGTAAAACAATTTTCATTTAAACTCCCCGGATGTTTTTATTTTTTATCTTTCCAAGATAATATTTTTTTTAATATTTTAAAATATTCACGGTATGATTTTTTTTCACTTCCCCGGATATTTTCATTAAAATTCCCCTTTCCACCTTTCCGGATATGTCTAAGATATAATTGGACATTTACAGTTAAATGTAATATTGGAGTATACATACCTCGGGTTTGTAAGAGTATAAAAAACAGCACCGTGATCGCACGTGCTGTGATAATTCCTTTTCTGTTTGATTTAATATCAACTCTCCTCATGTTTAGAACAAAGGTGTCAGTCTCTCGAATAATTCTCCTTATCATCAGCCTGACCAGCCACCACCTTGGCTATACAGGTGCCTTTTTCAATGTGAGAACATCCGTGAACGATATTGTATCTACGGGCAAAAATATATGTTTTACCAACAGGTAAAATGAAGTACTACTTGTAAGCGTGTCTTCAACTCATTTAAGAAGAACTTTAAACAGAATTAAGTACTGTATGTGGTAGGGCATTCCTATTGTCCTATCATTTATCTGAAGTATCAACATTGGTAACACCTACTCACATGTCTCGTCATGACAATTTTATCGGAAACTACATAACATACACCAACAACAGCCCTGACGATCAGAAATGTCTACACCGAGCGATACGTTAACATGATTTTTTTACAATAGTGTACAACCAGATAGGCTTTGCGATACAGCAGTTCAATAAATTTACGTCTTGTTTCCAAGTGTGTATCACCTGTTTATAAACGAAAATAATTCAATGATATAGTAAGTATAGGTTTTGTGAAGACGCACTACCATGGTACCACGGTAAACCTACTTAAACCTTTAAAAAAGTTAGTGCGACATCAGATTCTGAGATAATTTCTTGTCGTGATTTTGCTGTCCAGGGGTAGGTCCTCTATGAGTCATGTGTAAGTCAAAAAATTAAAACAACCCAGTATGCCAACTCCCTCCGCAGTGTCCGTAACTCTCCCAAAGATATGACAGATTAGAGGAAGGCCTTTGGATGCTGTACTGACCCCCGTGATCGTGGGACAAAAACACCGACAGAATTGGTAAGAGTTACTGTATGGCCCTCAATAGGTTTTCGGAAAGTTCGGTTGGAATACTCTTATAGATTTTCTTTGCATAAGTGTCTGCGGTATTTTATAACGGATTTAATGGAGAAGTAAGCGGCTAGGATGCTACAGTAAACGCATACAGCTGTACCGCTATTTTCTATAATGTTATCATTACAAACGGCGACTATAAGGGTATAAGGTACACCTGTATTTATGTGTACCTGGTGTGATGTAACTATAACAGGATATTATGTGTCTATGTGTGTGTAGATATATGTGTATCTATTCTAATACACATGTATCTGTTTACCTGGTGTAATGTAACTATAACAGGTGTCTATGTGTCTTTGTGTGTGTAGATATATGTGTACCTATACCAATACACCTGTATCTATGTTGACCTGGGGTGATGTAACTATAACAGGTATATATGTGTCTTTGTGTGTGTAGATGTATGTGTACCTATACTAATACACCTGTATCTATGTTAACCTGGTGTGATGTAACTATAACAGGTACATGTATCTATTTGTCTTTGTGTGTGTAGATGTATGTGTACCTATACTAATACACCTGTATCTATGTTTACCTGGTGTGATGTAACTATAACAGGTACATGTATCTATGTTTTTATGTGTGTAGATATATGTGTAGCTATACTAATACACCTGTATCTATGTTAACCTGGTGTGATGTAACTTTAACAGGTATCTATGTGTCTTTGTGTGTGTAGATATATGTGTACCTATACTAATACACCTGTATCTATGTTTAAAATTGTATGATCTAAATATAAAAGCAATACTATTCCTGATTGAATATCTAATGGCAATTTCTGTTTACAATATCCTATATGTATAAATCTTTTCTATGTACGCTGTAATATAGGATAAAGTTGACAAGCGGACTTAACATGCCTACGTTTTACTTCCTTATTATTGTATTCCTCTGTTATTTAAGCTTTCCAATTATATCTCTAATTTCTTTTTTCTACTTTCTGAGCAGTTGGCATTCAGGATTGGTGTTGATGACAACTTGTATCATCATATAACTAGAATTCTAATAAGTCATTTCAATAACTATATCTTCTCTTTTATATGTACAGTTTCAACACTTGAAAACATCTATGTATGTAATAGAAGTAAACTGTTTGAACCATTCTGGGTTTTTCCATTAACAATAGGTTAAGGCACTCATGTATGACATTTTTTTTATTTATATAATATAGTCACAAAGTAGGTTTATGAATAGTGATGTTAATAGTTTTAATTCTAATACAGCTCTAAAGTATAATCCGGAAAAGGTGCCCGTGTTATATATAATATACATGTAAATAGATGCAATTCTGTGCTATTGTAGCAAGGCACAACACTGCATACATAAATTAAAATTTTAAAATAATAATTAATGATTCTGCACAAAGTCGGTATATCTACGCGATGTTTATTTGCTTTGCGTAAAGAAGAAAGCACTAATTTCGTTGTTTTTGTAATCAATAAGACATTGAAATGACTATTTATTTTTATGGTGCTACCAGATTAAAGTGTTTTCCTAACGATAAACACTTATGTTGCTCACGTTAATGTTTTCGTTGATAAACATGGTATTTGCTTTTTGATAAGCTTCTAATACAATGCTGATTTCGATTTGATAATGAAGGTATGGTACGGTCTGACATGATCGCCGTATGAATTGACGACAACAAATACGTTAAGTAAGGCGTGATAATTGACAGTAAACTAACAGATGTTAATTACATCTATAGAGTTATTTTTTTCAATTCAAAATTGAAAAAACTAATGTTACAGAGTATCACAACCGATCAATCTTGTCAATTTGTCTGAGAAAAATTATGAACAATTGTTTAGATTGCATGCCTTTACGAATGTAATTGTGAACATTTCGAAGATAAATAGCAGTCACACCGAATAGCATCGGTAATGCAGACTCAACATGGAACCCAGATGGCAATAAGAAAATGTCTATACATTTTTATCGTAAGGACATAGAAAAGATTTAGCAGTTTGTAGCCGATGGGATTCTCCATTGTCGTACCAGACTATAATGCTTCAACTAGGCATGATAGCTATAACACGCGCACGACTTCAGATAAAACATGAGTATGTTCCTCCGGCATGTCAGCTCTTCATTCTTCCGGCATGTCAGCTCTTCATTCCTCCGGCATGTCAGCTCTTCATTCGTCCGCCATGTCCTCCGGCATGTCAGCTCTTCATTCCTCCAGCATGTCAGCTCTTCATTCCTCCGGCATGTCAGCTCTTTATTCCTCCGGCATGTCAGCTCTTCATTCCTCCTACATGTCAGCTCTTCATTTCTCCGGCATGTCAGCTCTTCATTCCTCCGGCATGTCAGCTCTTTATTCCTCCGGCATGTCAGCTCTTCATTCCTTCTTCATGTCAGCTCTTCATTCCTCCGGCATATCCGCCGGCATGTCAGCTCTTCATTCCTCCGGCATGTCCTCCGGCATGTCGATTCTTCATTCCTCCGGCATGTCAGCTCTTCATTCCTCCGGCATGTCCTCCGGCATGTCAGTTCTTCATTCCTCCGGCATGTCAGCTCTTCATTCCTCCGGCATGTCCTCCGGCATGTCAGTTCTTCATTCCTCCGGCATGTCAGCTCTTCATTCCTCCGGCATGTCAGCTCTTCATTCCTCCGCCATGTCAGCTCTTCATTCGTCCTTAGCAAAGTATTACCTGACAACTTGTCGTAATATAGCATATTTTCAATCTAGACAAGCACAGTCAAACGGCTGACAAATCACATGTTGTGTATCCTATAGATGTTAATGTTTTGAACCACCAATACAAATAACACTTAACAAACACACACCATTTTCCGTGCGGTGAGTTGCTAACTGTCTATCCGTTAAACACTGGAGTGTTAAACTTTTAAGGATTAAACATTGAATTAGGAAATAAAAGAATAAATAAATAAATAAATAAAGTTGTTTGGGATATTTTTATGTTCATGTATACACATTATAGATGAGTAAAGCTTTTCAGTGATTGACTCTTTATTACATTAAGAAGAAACACGTCAACATATTTTACATGAGAAGACACACTGCATCAACATGTCGGCTGTAGCCACTACAGTACATGGTCCTAGCGGGTTTGCGTACATTATCAACATAATAATCATTAGATAAATGAGACTCTCATCCTTAAATTTAAAAAAAAAAAAATAGGTCTATTGTTGTCTTGACAAATCAATCCGAATGAATTTAAGCACTATATGTATCCTAACCGGTTTTCAATGTTTTTCCTTAACATACCGATTTCCGTGTTAGATATCAAATACCTTCAATGGTCATCATCACGATCGTAGTGGGCAACTTGTTTTGGTGTGTAATATAAATGTCGATGTTTATTTTATTACCTTGGGCTTCATTGATTTTGTTCACAATTTAAGGACGTAGACTTACTTGTCACCTACATTTACATGGTGAGCGTCCTCAATATAACACGGAACGCTTACTCTTTTGACACACATGGTCTTATTTCTTTCTTTTCAGTGTCTTCCACATGAAGGATAATCTTTCATTATTCAGTTATTCTTTTGTTTGTGTTTTTGGTCTTTCTTTTTTGCATATGTTATATACAATGTACTGAAATAATACTGTACACGGGAACTTTTGAAGCAGTTTAACGTTTGCTTTTTTCGCCCTCCGTAATGAAAGTGAATTTATCACGATAAGAAATATTAGTACACATCTTATCACTTGTCGTAATTATATGTGAAGGACTGATTTTCTTTGTGATGTGCTAAAGTTTGACTGGGCGAAAGTCCCCTTCTGTATAGCATCTGATATGTCAAAAACATCGTTCACAAATGAGATGATATTACATTGTAACTTACTTTAGCAAAATTATTATTTTCATATTCACAGTTTTTACATTAGTATTTTATCTAATGTAAGTAATACAACGTATATAACAAAGAACACCTTTTATCACATTCATGTCGGACGTTTGATATTATATAATATAACAATTATGAAACAAGTTATTTAAACTTATATTTACCACTCTTGTTGGTCCGGTAGTTAACGCGCAGGGAGGAAACTGCAGTACCCGGAAAAAAAAACCATGTGGTTTGGCAGGTGACCCTAAACCTTTTCACAACCGATCGGGGAATCGAGTCCCGGCCGCCTTGGTGAAAGACAAGTGCGCTATCCACGGCGCCACCGAACCATTTGGATGCAAATAAAAAACAAGTTCTAAAACTTTAGCTCCATTTAATTCTTTGGTAACATGACGTCGTATTTCCCCTTTCCGTGTCGACTTGTTCGAAATTTTATTCGGAAAACAAATAAACACTGTTCTGACATATTTATAACTTAGCATTCTTCAGAAAATATTACAAAGCAATACCACTCATAGTTCTATCCTACGAAGCAGATGCTGTTTTGTTTCTGTTGCTGTTTTTGTTTTTGGTTTTTGCATATTTTGTATATTTTACTTTTGTATTTGCATTTGTTGATAGTACATATTGAACTCTAAATGTAGAGATCAATAACGCGTAATCAAACACAACCAATTAGTGTTTATGCGCAACGTCACTCGTAAACACTTACAAGTACTGGCTGTGATATATAACCTTTCTACTGTTCGTGAAATCGGTACTATTCTTCTTCTGTAAATTTACTAAAGACAATGCCAGTTCCACATAAACCCATGATGATAAACAAAATGCAGGTGATTCTGTCGACAACCTTAGAAAGAGACTTCCAGTGTTCTGCTGTCACGTTTATGTAAGATTGGACTTTAGGTGTTGGCTCATCCTGTTCTGTGCCCACTTTTGCTGTTTCTGACCCCAGCTGGTATCTTCTTGTCTTTTCATTTGCTACGTGTTCGGAAGAAGAAGCTTCGGGCTGAAATGTAGGAAAAAATATTTAGAATAGAAGAATATCTCCAATGATTAATACAAGTAGAAATTTTTTGTTAAATGTTCCCCAGCGATATGATTTTTTTTATTTATATAGACTGCACAAGTTATCGCATTACCTAAATTTGTTTCTTTCTTGATATCGATATTGCTCGGTCGCTAAAATGTACATTGAAGTATATTTTGAAAACTGCATGACCATATGTACCGATTACAGACAACAAATCACATAGTAAGATAATGACCATAAATGAAAACAACGACAAAGCGTTTGATGAAAACAATCTCTCTTTCATGTATCGTTATATTTTCTTGTCGTGCAATAATTTTAGTTGATTTACCCGAGTCGATTCCTTTACATGATCGTCCAGCTCCGGCACATATACCCAGGTAGCTTTAGCTAAGGTACCGAGAAATATCCTGACGACCCAACGGTGCATAACAACCGCTGGCTGATAGTAGATAGACAAAACTAGTACCGCCATCACACAGGCAAATCCGACGAGGAATAGACAGAAATTGAAGTAGATTGCTGCAAATGAAAATAAAAGATTAAACAAGACGAATATTTGCGAACACCAGCAAATACACGGAATACACATCACATGGAAGTAAAAAGCCGTAATAAAACAACCGAGAGGCTCAACAAGTGTATTGCGTATTGATCATGTGATTTGGCACAAAAAAATGAACCAAATATGACAATCACAGGGTTTCTTGGTATTGAAACTTACCAAAAAGAGGTGTATCGTCTGCTGAAGGTGGAAGGAAATCTACCACCAGTAACTGGATACTTACCAATAAGAGGGGTAGCGTCTGATGAAGGGGGTAGAGAGTCAGTCACCAGTAACTGGCTACTTACCAATAAGAGGGGAAGCGTCTGCTGAAGGGGATAGATAGTGTGCTACCAGTAACTGGATACTTACCAATAAGAGGGGTAGCGTCTGATGAAGGGGATAGAGAGTCTGCTTCCATTAACTGGATACTTACAAATAAGAGGGGTAGCGTCTGGTGAAGGGGGTAGAGAGTCTCCCATTAGTAACTGGATACTTACCATTAAGAGGGGTAATGTCTAATGAAGGGGATAGAGAATCATTCACCAGTAACTTGATACTTACCATTAAGAGGGGTACCATCTGTTGAAGGGATAGAGAGTCTGCCACCAGTTACTGGATACTTACCAATAAGAGGAGTAGCATCTGATGAAGGGGGTAGAGAGTCAGTCACCAGTAACTGGATACTTACCAATAAGAGGGGTAGCGTGTGCTGAATGGGGTAGTGAATCTGCCACCAGCAACTGAATATTTACCAATAAGAGGGGTAGCGTCTGATGAAGGGGGTAGAGAATCTGCTTCCAGTAACTGGATACTTACCATTAAGAGGGATAGCGTCTGCTGAAAGGGATAGGGAAGCTGCCATCAGTAACTGAATATTTACCAATAAGAGGGGTAGCGTCTTCTGAAGGGGGTAGAAAGTCTGCCACCAGTAACTGGATACTTACTAATAAGAGGGAAAGCGTCTGCTGAAGGGGGTTGGGAATCTCCCACAAGTAACTGTATACTTACCGTTATAAGGGGTAACGTCTGATGAAGGGGGTAGAGAGTCTGCCACCAGTAACTGGATACTTACCAATAATAGGGAAAGCGTCTGATGATGGGGGTAGAGAGTCTGCCACCAGTAACGGGATACTTATCAATAAGAGGGGTAGCGTCTGATGAAGGGGGTAGAGAGGATGCTTCCAGTAACTGGATACTTACCAATAAGAGAGCTAGCGTCTGCTGAAGGGGATAGAGAGTCTGCTTCCATTAACTGGATACTTACCAATTAGAAGGGTAGCGTCTGATGAAGAAGATAGATAGTCTGCCACCAGCAACTGAATATTTACCATTAAGAGGGATAGCGTCTGATGAAGGGGGTAGAGAGTCAGTCACCAGTAACTGGATACTTACCAATAAGAGGGGAAGCGTCTGCTGAAGGGGATAGATAGTCTGCTTTCAGTAACTGGATACTTACCAATAAGAGGTGTTGCGGCTGATGAATGTGGTAGAGAGTGTGCCACCAGTAACTGGATACTTACCATTAAGAGGGGTAGCGTGTGCTGAATGGGGTAGGGAATCTGCCACCAGCAACTGAATATTTACCAACAAGAGGGGTAGCGTCTGATGAAGGAGATAGAGAGTCTGCTTCAAGTAACTGGATACTTACCAATAAGAGGGGTAGCGTCTGATGAAGGGGATAGAGAGTCTGCTTCCATTAACTGGATACTTACCAATAAGAGGGATAGCGTCTGATGAAGGGGGTAGAGAGTCTGCCACCAGTAACTGGATAATTACCATTAAGAGGGGTAGCGACTGCTGAAGGGATAGAGAGTCTGCCATCAGTAACTGGATACTTACCAATAAGAGGAGTAGCGTCTGCTGAAGGGGGTAGATAATCTCACACCAGTAACTGGATACTTACAATTAAGAGGGGTACCGTCTGTTGAAGGGATAGAGAGTCTACCACCAGTAACTGGATACTTACCAATAAGAGGAGTAGCATCTGATGAAGGTTGTAGAGAGTCTGCCACCAGTAACTGGATACTTACCAATAAGAGTTGTACCCTCTTCTGAAGGTGGTAGAGAGTCTGTAAACGTGAACTGGATACTTACCAATAAGTGGGGTAGTATCCGCAGAAGGGGGTAGGGAGTCTGCCACCAGTAACTGGAATACAGCTAGAGCAAGCATCACCGTAATTTGTAGCGAAACCTTTTCTCCTGATTCAACAGCTAAGAAGAAACCAAGTATCGCCATTCCAGTAATAAGGAAAGTCGGAATTATGATATTTACAATATAGAAAGACGGTTTGCGTTCAATTGTTAGGTAGTAAGTAACATCAGGGTACGGTTCCGGGCAGCAACCATAATAAACCACGTGACGTTCAGCAGTTAATTTCGAGATATTCCATTCGACGTTCAAAACCGACGATGACAGATCTCCATACGGGTTCTTATATACCAGGTCCATCTCCAGGCCGTGGTAGATCCAGGATCCGAACGCCATACTACACGTTTGGGTATCGTATGGGAATCTCTCCACGTTCACAAGACATCGACTTTGTATGATAGTAGGGAAATTGTAATACACGGAACCATCTGAATATATGCTCACTCTGTAATCGTCGTAACCCGGAAAGTCATCGGCAGTGCTGTTCATGAAAAAATATATACATTTTATATTTTTTCATCAAATAAGGATTCTAAATATTTCGTTACAAATTTTAAAAATATTGTTAAGGCCGCGGTCTTGTAATTGCGATCGGCATTTAAATTGCACTTTCCCTGTAAATGTCAACATCTTACAAACAATTAGTATTTTGTTGAATTTGCGTTAACAATTTAGCATAATGAAAGATCAGGAGAAATGTTGCTATTTCACATTTCTATGCAACCCAATAGAGGAACTGACTAAATGCAAAAAACAATTTGCTTTGTAATGTCAGTCATTGATGTTATTCTAAAGATTATATAAGATCTACCTCATCTGTTTGTCATATCCCAATTAACAAGTAAACTACCATTGACGAGCTAGCATAAAAATGCATCCACCCTCGCCTACGTTTGTACATCTACGTCATATTGATGTCGTAATACCACACGCATTCAGAGAAATTACCTGTCATACAGGATTGAACCGGGCACTCAAATTGTTTTTAACTTACCTATCAAAAAAGGGTCAGATTGGTCACGTACATGCGTTTAAACTTACCTGTCATACAGTGTAAGATCGGGTACCTACACGTGTTTAAACATACACATTTTACGGGTAAACTCTGGTACCTACACGTGTTTTTAGTTACCTGCCATATTTAAACGTACCTATCTAACAGGTAACATATGGCTCCAACACGTGTTTACCTGTTATACAGACTAGGATCGGGGCTACATCCACCTGTTTTCAACTTTCTTATCACACAGGGTCAGGTAGGATACCTATACGTATTTCAACATATCAATGTATGCATGGTCGAGCATCTACAAGTATTTCATCATATCGATAAAACAGGGAAGGATCGATCACTCACATGTTTTTAAACTTACCTTTCATACAGGTACGATTGGAAGCCTTCACGTGTATCGACATGCCATTATCATACAGGCCAATAACATGTATTTAAACTTATCTATCATCCAGGGTATGATCCGGCAGTTACATGTGTTAAAGTTATTTAACATACATGTTATAGTCGGGAACTCATGTGTTTTTATTGTGTTCTATCCTACAGGTAAGATCAGTTCCTTATGATCGGGCACCCACACTTGTTTAAACTAACCTATCATGTTGGGTGAAAGGGGCATCTACAGATGTTGAAACCTACCTGACATATAGAGTAAGATCGAGCATCTACACGTATTTAATCATACCCATCATACAGGGTTAGATGGGACACATAGGCATTAAAACTTACCTGTCATATAGAGTAAGATAAGGCATCTACACGTATGTAATCATACCCATCATACACGGTTAGATGGGACACACACAGGCATTAAAACTGACCTGTTATATAGAGTAAGAACAGGGTTAGATGGGACACACAGGCATTAAAATTAACCTAACATACAGAGTAAGATCGGGCATCTACATGTATTTCATCATACTCATCATACACGGTTACATGGGACACACACAGGCATTAACACTTACCTATCATACAGAGTAAGATCGGGCACCCACACGTATTTAAACGGTACAACAATGTTGCCAAGGTCACCAAATGCAGCCGGGTCCCAGGTCAACTGACAATCTGTCCAAAACTGCAAATCAGGAAAAATCAAACCATTACAGAAAACAAGTACAGATAAAAATAAACTACGAAAATGAGTCTTTGCAGTTTTATCCGTTGTAACGTCAATCTTTGTAGAGGTATACATGTTAGCCCTTAGGGATGAGTGTTCGAAACAGTATAGTACAGTCTTACACGAAAGTGTTGACTTTGAAAGAAATCACCGGATCTGACATTAGGTATTCCGAGATATTATACTGTATAACTTACTAATACGTACCATTCTAATCCATAGATTCAGGGTTAAAATCTGGGTAGGTTCATCCTGTAATAACAATAAGAATTGCCAACAAATGTGGGTATGTTTGCTGGAGACAGGGTATGGTGGTGTACTTGCCTCCTTGTGAAAGCGCGGATCTGATGCAGACTTAATAGTGGTATCTCACTGAAATACCATGACAAAGGCACCAAGCACAGCATTCCGCCTGGTCACATTTTACTGACAACGGGTGAACGGGTTGTTGCCAATCCCCAAAACGCTACACGTTATGCAAGGGATAGCAACTACCATGTTTTAGGATCTTTGTATGTCCCGGCCTAAGGAGAGAACACATTGCCTTCCTCACCAGGAAGAACGTTAAGCATTAAAGCCAAAACGAATGAGGTGTTGCCAAGCAAGGCGCTTGGAAATAAAAGATAGCTAGAAAGAAAAAGAAAAAGAAAAATCTCAAATAATGCTAAGGGTGCAGCAGATTTTATTTTGGTCGCTTTTGTGTCCCCTAATACAGGTCAAAAAACAAATCCCCAACTCTACAGAGAGTCACCACATTGGTCGCCTCTTACGATACATTCCAAGTGTACCGGTAATTATCAAACCAATTGCATCATGCCAATACCGTGTGTGGTGGAAGTAGTTATAATGCTATCAAGAAAGGGAAATCGTCACGTTTTTCATTTAGTGAAACAGTACGCCGTCTCAATTAGTCATGTTGCTAGTCGAAGTTCTGTTATTCTCATTCAGTATCTTTCAACCTTACGAGTAATGCTTATATTCACTTCAGTAAAATTATAACAGTCAGTGAATACTGTTCTATTACCCACCTGCTAGGTAGTTACTTTGTGATGAAATAACCCTTGCAATACTCTATACCAGAATGGACTCCTCCAGATCATTGCTTAGTAAGCTTATCAAAATTGCATAGGGTTGTAAGGGTAAAATAGAAACATAATTCCTGTAATATAAATACCTACCAAATCAACAACATGTCGGAGAGCAATATCAACTTGTACGGTGGTGGCGCTGTTGTTGTTACAGTAAGGCCGAGCCGCGCTCTGGTAATCAGTGAACAGGTGGTCAAATAGTGCGGACGAGTTTGTGGCAGCATCTGTGTCTGAAAAAATATAAAAAAGGGTCAAACAAAAGGTTACTATAAGTAACATAGCATATAAACTATATAGATAGTATGAAAATTAGTTAATCAGTAAATGGATGTTCGGTAAATTTCAAAAAGTTGGTAGGTCAATCTGTATAAAAAAATCTTTTTACAATATTACCAGAGCATTTTGTAGGCAGGCAAAAAAGGAAATAGGTAAAACAGTAATGTCCTTAGGAAGGTGACAAGCTAAGTCGACCAAACAGTCTGTTCCGCAGTATCTCTGGAAGTAGGCCACAGAATCGTCCATAAAAACAAAGTATGTCATTATGTCTAATAATTAGGTCAAACAGAAGCTAGGTCAAATAGGTAGTGTAAGTAGTAGAATCTACACGTCAACCGTACTTAAGGTACACTAGATTGTAGACGATGGTTTTGTTGCTAATGAGTCCACCTATTTTACTCTGATAGTTGACTATAGATGTTTTGCTGTTAAGTAACAGTTTTGTTAATGGAAATAAAAATGTATATAAACTAAACTTAAAGCTTCAATCTTTCTGTCATGAGCAGTTTGCGTTAACTTTCCATGGAATTTTGTCAATATTTTCACAATACATATACATCATCTACGAATGCTTTGGGTGTAACGGGTCTTATTAACAGCTAAAGTCATTAAAAGACGTGGCATAGTGTATGTAATGTATGAAAGTAAGCTGGGGCGGTAGGTTGATATATTTGTCTCCTTGCGAGCGGATCTGATGTCGACTTTAAAGTGCTACCTCACTGATACATCATATCGAAGGCAGCCAGCATAGTTGTGCATCCGGTCACATGATACTGGCAGCGGGTATTCCAGTTTGTTCAATAAAGATCTAATATACTTTCCTTGTGTTATAGTTTATATATGGTATAACAACCAATATAACGATAATCCTTTATATATATATAATAATAATAAAAAGGGATTAAATGTCCATGTGAAGGAAGTAAATATAGAAAAATAAGATTAACGACCGAGTAAAAAACTAGCTGCTTTCACCCTTCACAGGGTTTACAATTATGGTTGTAAAAATTGAAAAATCTCAATAGGATACTAAAAAAGGGGCAATATATATATATATATTTACATTTGGTGTGGCAAAGCCCTTCTATATTACTACTAACGTACTGCCAATAGCAGCTTCATCTTATGAGACTATAACTGAAGTTGGTCTTTGCACCTCCGAGCGACTTAACAGTGTCACTACCGAACTTATCGGTATCTTCTGCTTTGATCCCGAACACCAGCTGACTGTCTCAAGTGTCTGTGAGATCAACAAACAATTTTACGCCTGGATTTTTCACCAATCAACCTTCTCCGGTTGCACGATCAACATCAACAACATGCCGGACTGTAAATATAACTCTGACCTGATTACTGCGGGCTTCCGTTGAGTTCGTGCGCCGGATATAGGTCGCAATAAAATCGGAAAATGTTTTACGACACTTGATTAGTTACTTACAAAATGTCATTTGTTACTATTTATGAATCGAGAATATGATATATATATAAATCAAAATCAAATGAATTATTAACGAAAGTTTCGGAGTCTTTTCAATTTTGTATGGGATATAGCGCATGACGTCAGCTGTTATCTTTTTGCCGTTCTAGATACTGACCTGACCTGACGGTAATAAGCGGGAAATTTGAAATTTAGAAAAGACATATTTTTTTTTTTTTTGCGAATTCGCATTATGGAAATATAAATATAAGCAATAATATCATGGTGCGCTAGCGCGCACCATTCAGTTTGTCTGTGACACATGTGGCAGTTATACCAGTTGGTCTACCAAATCTATGCAGTTTATTGCTTAAATATATGGGGCAAAGAAGTAATTCCAACAGTGTGGACAAGTTTAGGTTGTCAAATTTTCGGAGCGATTCGCTCCTTTTACAAGACACATTGAAACAGAACAGTTACATGTACATATACATTATATATATATATATACTGTAATATCATATAAAATATTAGAAATGAGACAATTGTGAAAATTATAGCCGATCTACAGGTATCAACTATCCAACAAAAAAACAATTTATTTACAAATTCAAAACCTAACGCCGAGATTTCCCAGACTACAATGTTTTAAAGATTTCCACACTGTGTTTGCCTTCACTACAACAACACCCAGTCAGAGTAATCCTTCTCAATCTAGTCTTATATTAAAACTGTATGGGACCATGGCGATGATCTTGTTGTGACATGGAGGTTTACATGTACTTAAGGTTGTTTCTGCTATATACTTTAAGTTATTATATACACCAAACGATTAACATATATTTAAAGGAGAGATTGCCAAATGACATTTATAGATAACGTTACAAAGTGTGAGAATATACTTTATTGATTTTGTTCCCCAGGCTAAGGAATTTAATTTGAATTTAAGCCGTGAAATATTCATGAAAATGCCGCCAATGTTGTCTTTCTTCTTAAAATTATCATTTTTGTCAAAGGAAACAGGTTTTTAATTCTTTGAAACATATGTCATCATTTCATGTGTATTTTACTTCTATCAATGACATTCTGATGTATTTAGAAACCATTTAAAATACATCCTGGAAAAAACTCATTTCATATGTAGATAGTCATGTGATCATGGTTGTACAAATTGAAATATCTCAATAGGATACTAAAAAGGGGATTGGGATATATTGGGATTAAAAAACCCCATTACCAAATAAATAAAACACGGCATATCATTTATAGCCACTTTATAAAAATATTACGTGTGTATTTTGAAAGATCTTTCAACATTTAATGTATTAAGAGATCGGAATGGTCTGATATTTTTTTTTTTATATTAGAAACTTCTTTTGAAATATACTGAAGTGAAATACTTGTAAAAGGTAAATGGTCTTCAAATATACGTAGCCAGGTCGTTGTTCCTCAGTAGATGAAGGCTAACACATGCATCTGACAGTAGAACTGAATTAAATTACATTGGTAACAATAAATTCGATTAAACAGCTTTTTTTTATTTTTTTTTAAAATTAGGTTGCTAATTATGGAAACATGAGTAAGTAACAGACTCGTATATCGTAAGTATATGTACATTATGTTAAAACAAAAATCCACTAGCTTCCTTGTACAGGTGTAATGCGCTCTGTAGGATATTATATAATTAGATGTATATAATATGGAATCCAGCATTATCACGATTTGTTTTGTTCGTTTAATGTTTGGATAACCAATCTATTTTCAGTTACTTTTTTCATTATGCGTTCAGTTTTGAGCTGTTTTATCTAGCTGTCTTTATCCTACACATGGCGATACTTGCTGTTATGGTTATTGTCTGCATCAAACATAGCTAGGGATAGATAATTATTCAGATGACGTTGATACCCAGGAAGTTGTAAGTGTTTCATTACATAATTAAACGGGTTTTAAAAACTCAGGGAAATGAAAAGTTGTGGCAAATAATAATCAATTACAATCGATATAGGAGTGTTGGTAATTCTAATTAAAAGATTATTTGTCAATAAAATAATAGGACAGTTATCAAAGGTATGTTTCAAGTACATATTCAAAACGTGGAGACACCATTGGGTTAGTGGATAAATAATGACATGGTATGGAAACGTAATAAGTTAGAGACACAATGGGTTAGTTGATAAAATAGGACACAATATATTAGAGGCACCAATGGGATATTTGAGTTAATAAGACACGAAATGGCATATTTATAAATAAGAGGCATTAGTGGGTTATTTGATTTAATAGGATACAACATGACATTTTTTATAACTCAGACGACAAGTGGGAAATATGATGACATAAGACACAATACGACATATTTATAACTAAGAGGCACAATGGGGATATTTGCTAAAATAACATATCATGTTACCGCTGAAAATGCTTCAGCGTTTGGTTGTTTAAAAGTTTCGGCTTTTGAATAGTAATAGTCCAGCAAACATGTTTCACTTAACCATTATATTATTAACGAGAATATCCATATTCTTGATTATTGGACAAAAAATGTCTCTTGGATTTTTTGTCAGTCCCTTGTCGTGCTGTAGTCACTACGTAGTGTGACAACATCTAACATTGACGATTTTGAAAAATGAATGGTCTTCTTTTGTTTTTGTTTGTTGTTTGGTGTTGTTGTTTTTTGTAATGCCACTTCTTGTAGAATTTAAAAGCGTATAATCTGTCCGAGAACTTTAGCCTCTTTAATCTAGCCGAGACCAACCTTCACATTCTTCGATACACTATTTATTTGTGTTTGACATATCCAGATATACATCATTAAATATAAATGGATATTGTTGTTGCTGATGTTATTATGTGTGTAGTCGTTGATGTTGATGTTGCTTTTGATGTTGTTGATGTGGTTGTTGATGTTGCTGATGTTATTTTGTATGTTGTTGTTTATGTTGATGTTGCTTTCGTTGTTTTTGCTGCTGCTGCTGCTGGTATTATTAAATTTGCTGCAGTGTTGTTTGTTGTTAATATGGCTATGTCAAAACAAAAACACATAGATTACCGTATGTCAAAACAAAAATACATTTTGAATGAAGATCATGTTACTGGTAACGAATACTTATCACGATATACCATGAGCAGTTAGAGAATTTATCAGCAAATAATTACTTTTTCTCACGTTAATTAAGTCAGAAATTAATTAGAAAAATAGAAATGTTTTGTATACATATCAATAATCATTTACATACATGTTTGAGGTGCTTATTGACTATCGGAATTGACTAACCTTGATTGTTACCTACAGACAGAACGTAGCCGCTTGTTTTGTTTTTGTGTCATCATGTGTTATGTTCGTTTTGATTGACGCCACGCCCTTAAATGACAATGTAGCTGTTGGCAGGACGTCAACTACTATAAAACCAAACCACTAGTAAATCAACCATTGGAGCTT